CAACCTGAAGCAAATAGTATGAAGTGGATTATAATTAGAGTAGACACACATGAAACAAAAAACAGAAAAACAATAAAGTTGATCTAATAAAATGATCAACAAATTGGACAAGTCTTTAGCTAGACTGACCAAGAAAAAAGAGAGATGACTCAGATTATGAAAATCAGAAGTAAGGGACCAGCAGATGGTGTAATGGTTACACCATGAGACCCTCATGTAGTTGACTACGGTTTGAGTCCTGGATCAAGCAGTTTAAAACTCACACTGGGCACATGTGCATACATACCCAAAATCCTGAGAAGAGAATGGAGAAAAGGGATTGCAGTGTGGCCATTTACCCTGGGGGGGGGGTGATTTTTCACTTTCTGTCTCTCTGTCTCTCTTTCATCAGTGAGTGCACACTCCCTACAGAAAAATCTCTCTATAATAAAAAATAAATAAAAGGGAACATTACTACTTATTACACAGACATGAAAAGGATTTTATTTATTTTATGAACAAATGTAAGCCAAAGTTTGAAAACATAGATAACATTTTTTTAAAAAAAAATCCTACGAAGAAACAAACTATTGAAACTTCCTGAAAAAGGAGACAATCTGAATAAATTCATAACAAGTAAAGAGATTAAATAAGTTAATAAAACAAATTTTTATTAAGAAAATCTCAGGACCACATGTCCTCACTGAAAAATTCCCAAAAATATTTAAGAGTAGCAACAATCTTTCACAAGCTCTTCCAGAAAAATACAAGAGAAAGAAACTTCACAAATCTTTCTAAAAAGCCAATATTACCCTAATACCAAAACCAAAAAAAACCTCTCAAGAAAACTCAAGTCTAATATGACTTCTATTACAGTTGTAAGATTCCTGAAAACCCCCATTAACTAAATATAGCATCATAAATTTTTTTTAACTCTATGAACCAGTGGGGTTGATCCCTGTGATAAAAGACTGGTTTGATATATAAAAATCAACCAAATAATACATGACATTGAATTCATAAAAGATTAAAATTACATGATCATCTCAATAGGTATGAGATGATATGAAACTCTAACACTGGTTCATGACTAAGAACAGGGAACTATCAAACAATAGAAAGAGAGAAAGAGAGAAAGAAAACTTCATCTGATCAAGACCAACTGTGAAAAATCAACTTGCATTGTGTATAATGGTGAAAGACAGATGTTTTCAAATCCTACGAAGAAACAAACTATTGAAACTTCCTGAAAAAGGAGACAATCTGAATAAATTCATAACAAGTAAAGAGATTAAATAATAAAACAAATTTTTATTAAGAAAATCTCAGGACCACATGTCCTCACTGAAAAATTCCCAAAAATATTTAAGAGTAGCAACAATCTTTCACAAGCTCTTCCAGAAAAATACAAGAGAAAGAAACTTCACAAATCTTTCTAAAAAGCCAATATTACCCTAATACCAAAACCAAAAAAAACCTCTCAAGAAAACTCAAGTCTAATATGACTTCTATTACAGTTGTAAGATTCCTGAAAACCCCCATTAACTAAATATAGCATCATAAATTTTTTTTAACTCTATGAACCAGTGGGGTTGATCCCTGTGATAAAAGACTGGTTTGATATATAAAAATCAACCAAATAATACATGACATTGAATTCATAAAAGATTAAAATTACATGATCATCTCAATAGGTATGAGATGATATGAAACTCTAACACTGGTTCATGACTAAGAACAGGGAACTATCAAACAATAGAAAGAGAGAAAGAGAGAAAGAAAACTTCATCTGATCAAGACCAACTGTGAAAAATCAACTTGCATTGTGTATAATGGTGAAAGACAGATGTTTTCTCCCTAAGATCTGGAACAAGATAAAAATGCCTACTTTTTGCTTCTTTGATTCAGTATTTTTCTTGAAATACTATCCCGAGCAATTAAACAATAAAAAGAAGTAAATTTTTCATATTGAAAAGGTAGAAGTAAAACTATTTCTTATATATGAAAAACCTAAGGAAACCACTAAAATCTGCCAGAATAAATTAGTTCAGCAAAGTTGCAGAGTACTCTATCAATATATTTTTTAAAAACATGTATCTACACTGTAGCAACGAAAAATCTGAAAATGAAAATATTTATGGTCTACTTTGTTTTGATAAAGTAGCAAAAACAATTAGAAGGGAAAGTGACTTTTTTTCAGGAATTTCCTGGAATTACCAGATATCTCATTTTTTTAAAAAAGGAATCTCACACCATTATCTATATAAATGTTTAACTTGAGAATGATCACAGAACTATCTTAAAGCTATAATACATCTAGAACAAATCACAGGAAAACTTGCAACCCGATTTAGAAAAAAGATTTCTTGGTAAGACAAAAAAAGCACAATTGTATAAAAAGAAATATGATTGTGACTTTGGATTGAATAACCTTGAAAGATCTCTTTAGGAAAAGCCCTGATGAATTGATCCTGATTTTCTTAGGAGCAAGGTAAGTGTCAAAAGAGCTGAGCAGTCTTACGGGCAACAAATGCCTATGACCCATAATCCCAAGCAATAGCAACCAGAAATATTAGAACAAAGATGTGCCAGAAGTGGTAGCCATAGACAGATCTTAGGACATATATATCTAAGTATTCTTCATCTTTAAGAAATTTAGGAAGAAATGCTGTTTTTCAGTATATCCTTATATTGGTCATAACAAAGACAGCCAATAATTATTGCATACTACACAGCAGGTCCCCTTCCAAGTGCTAGGTATATTAACTAATTAATCATCCTAAAATATTATGGTGAAATGTTTTTATGCTAATTTTATAGATAAGAAACTAGAGCCTTTACATATTAAGACATCTGTCCAAGTTAAAACAGGTCATAAACGGAGACTCAGGACATGTTCTTAAAGACAGTCACAAAAAAAAGGAAAACTGTAGGCCTAATTTCACTTGAACCCATACATGCAAAAATGACATACTAACAAATTAAATCTCTCATGTTTTGAAAAATGTATCATATCTATGTAGAAGAACCCAAACAATTAGGAATAGGTAGAACATTTCTTAAACTTACACAGCAAACATCTTATTTAAAGGTGAAAATGTAAAGGCATTCTATGAAAGTAATAACAAGGATGCTTGCGCTCACTGACTCATTTAAACATTGTTACAGGAACTTCTAGATACTGCTATCAAACAAAGAAAAGAAATAAAAGATATAAGGGTTAGAGTAAAATAAATGTATTATTTACAATTGACGTAGTTTTCTACAGAAAAAAAATCCAAATAAACTAAGAGCATAAATATTAGAAATAATAAGAGTTCCAAAATGGCACTAGAAATCAGAATGGTCTGACCAGCCATAGAGGTGCAGCGGTAACAAAACAATCAGTGATGCTAAGGCTACTTGGGAGGGTTGTGGGTTCACATCCTGAGGTCTTCCTGTGCATGCTGGGTATGCACACATACTCATGATCCAGGCTGGCTGAGGCTAGGGGTAGGATCATGGTCTGGGGACTCCATGGGAAGTGCCCATCTTGTTCTCTCTCTTACTCACTCTTGCACTCTCTCTCAATCTGTCTCCCTCTTTCACAAAATACACATTTTTGAATGATAAATATAAACATCTATTTCTTTGTATCAGCTACAGATATAAAATGCAATTTAATAAAGAGTAGTATTTATTGATATAGAAGCAGCAAGACCTTGAGACATCTAGGAATAAATAAATATAACGAAAGGTATGGTACCTTTTATTTAGAAAACTATTATAAAAGAAGACCTAAACAAATAAAATATACCATGATCATAAACCTAAGAATAGTTATGGTGAAGACTAGTAAGAAGGAACTCACATCGTAAAATAGCAAAACAATCAAATGCTATAGCTTTTGGCAAGAAGTTAATCAAATTAACCTCTGAAACAAAATGTTAAACACACTATCATAAAATTGGAGGTTGAGATATGATAGAGGCGGCTTTAAAAATCAGTGAGGAAATGATGGGTATTCAATAAAAATCAGTGAGACAAGTATGTGCCAATAAAGACAAGTGAAAATTAAATTTCTACCTTACACATTATACAAAAATTAATTTCAGGAAAAAGTAGTAGACTGTATTTATTACATTAGCATAACAGAGTTTTTTAAAACAAGTTATAAAAATATATGAACCATAAAGAAGTGATTGATATATTTGCCAATGTTAAAATTGAAAACTCTTGTGCAACAGAACAAAAGTATAGAAAGTAAAAATGTCAACCTATTGGAAGAAATATTTTTCTAATCAATATAACTGATTTATATGCTAATTAAATGCAAATTATAGGGATATATCATACAAATAAATAAAAGATAATGAAACAGAAAACTTTACAAAATATATCACAATTCAGAGGAGAAAACTTGAATGACAAATAAACATGTATTTTCAAATTTTACTAGTTATTAAGGAAATGAAAAGTAAAACAGGACGGTTATGGTGGCACAGCAGTGGTGCAATGCTCAGTGACACTGAGACCTAATGGAAAGGTCTCAGGTTCTTGTCTCGATTTTTTCCTGAGCGCACGGAACACACACACATGCCTGTGAATCTGGCTGACTGAATTGATGTTGGCTATTGGTATGAAGACCCTTTGGGGGTACCTATTCCCCTTCTCTGTTTCCCTCTCTCTGTCTCCCTCTCTCTTATAGAAGAAATAATTTTTTTTTTTTTTTGGCTTTTTAGTTTTGCCAGAGGGTACATGGGCTCACTGGAGAGAAACAGAGAGAGGGAGGGAGGGAGGTCAGGGAGAAAGCAGGACCTCCTCTCCGAGGCATGGCCACACCACACTCCCTTCTCCTCTACCCCTCCTTCCTTTTGGGATTTTGGTCATCATGCACACACATGCACTCAGCCTGTTTCTCAAGCTCCCAGGTCTAGGACTGGAACCATGCAGTCAGCCACATAGGATCCAGCCACCTTACCACACCACAGGCTGACCCTTCTATTTTAAATGTAAAATAAAAATAAGGGAATATGTTATACCTGTGACTTTGGCCAAAATTAATACCTGAAAACAAAACATACTGATAAGAACACAGGCTCATGGATCTCTTACGTATCACTGATGGGATTGCAAATTGATTCAACCACTTTACAGAACAGTCTGGCGACGTCTCACTGGGGATGGTGGGTATACCCAAGAAACCTATGATACCTTTCATGGCACCCTTCTACAGACACTATTACAAAGTACAGGGGCAGACATATAAAGATGTTAACTGCAGAATTTTATAAACTATAAAAACAGAAAACTTAACCCTCAATGTGGGTTTTCTGTACTTTTATTATTAGATTAAACCATATAAAGTTGTCATTTTTGTAGGTTAAAAATGGTCACATTCTAGCTATTTTAAATGGTTCAACCTAACATGTATCTCTATTATTTTTATGTTAAAATTTATGTAAGTGGTCTCTTTCGGATTTAAATATAGTATATTTTCAACAAAAAAAAAATCATTTTGCTGCCCTAAGAATACTTCACTTTATAAGAAAGGAACAATTATTTCTTCCTATAAGCACACATACAAATGATAAATATATAAATGCAGAATGAGGGAGAAGAATCTTTAAGACTCTTTAAAATTTATTTAAATGCATTTTAAATCTCAAAACTATGAATTTCCATTACCTGGAAAAAAAATCACTGATGTAAAATAGATATTACTATAAATGCTAAATTCAAATAAACAGAAAATAACAATAAATCAAATTATTAGGATTACCCTTGTCCTTGTAAACCAAAAACTTTTATAATTAGAACTAGAAGTAAGGATTTATATGGATATTTTTAACTAGGGGTTTTCATCCATATGTTAGAAAGAACCAAATATAGTTTTTAATTAAGTTTTCAGAAAAAAAAAATCTAGTCTATGAAACTGAGAAATCCTCACTCTTGAAAATGACTTAAAAATGGAACTATTTCATAATGCAGCTAATAAATTCACACACGTCAAAAAGAAACTCCTGAGCTGGCCCAGTGCACAAGAGGTTCAGGGAGCCGGATCACACATGGCTGAGTACACAGAGCTCAAATACTTTCACTCCAGGTGCATGTTGTGTGCATGCCCAGAATCCGAACAGAATGGAGAAATGGAGGAGAAGAGACGAGACTGTGGCATGACTACACCCATTGGGGGTGCTTTCTGCCTCTCTAAGTCTCTATCTCTATGTGGTGAGTGCATGTGCCCTCTGGCAAATTTGCTAAATAAATAAATAAACTGTCTCACTCTGATACAATAAAAAACAAATTTATGTTCATTCAACCAAGACTTAGGTAATAGCTTTTCCGTATTTCTATCAAGAATTCGAATTGAAATTAAAATTATACATAATGAGGTCAGGTTAATTATCTGATCTCTATTTACTTCAGTGTGACACTAAAGAGATCACCTTATTTGGAAACAAACAAACAAACAAAAAAAACAGGTGATAAAATTCCAGAAATTCAAGTATGAGGGCTCTAGGATGGAAAGCCAGATCAATTTATTTATTTGGTGATTTTTAGGGCTCACTACAATAAAGGCTTCATGCCAAAAAAACTGTGACGTGTGATCTAGTTTTGTTACTGTTACTGCATTGTGTTCAGATATCAACAGCAAAGAATTAGTATATTTTCTGACTGTCACTGAACCATAAGAGGAAATAAAGATTCACGTGAAATTTATTATTGTAGATAACAGAAATATGAGCACTCAATAGGCAATCATATAAAATTAACACAGTGTACAATTATAAAATAAATATACTACTACAAAATATGTTTTTAATTTTGCCAGAAAGTACATACATTCACTGGAGAGAGAAAGAGAGAAGGAAAGTGAGGAAGCACCCCTCCCCCTCATGGAAAATGGTCATGCCACAATCCCTTCTCTTCAACTTCTTCTTGCTTTCAGTATTCTGAGAATTCATGCACATGCCCTGTGTTTTGTAGCAGGTTCAGGACGCAAACCAAGCAATTAACCACGTGGGATCCAGCCATCTTAACCACCATGCCACTGTTTGGCCCTAAAATACCATTGAGGAAGGAGCGAAAGTTTCCTTCCAGGTCCAGACACTACAGTACATGCTGGATGGCATGGCTGAGTGCTGAGGCCACAAGAGAGGCCCAGGTTTGATTCCCAGTCCACCTGAAAGACTCCTTACCTAAATTCCTTACCTTATCTTCAGAAACAGCCTTTCTCATCCCACCTCATTAGTCTCATTTAAAATTATCCACAGTGCCTTTTCTAGCCCTATTACTTTACCAGAAGTGTACTCTTGATGGCCACCCTGCATGTGGTTTCCAGTTTTATAACTTGTCATCCTCTCTGTTATTGTGCTGCTCAATAGTATGAAAGAACATCGTGGAGTGTGTATGTTTTTAAACAACCATACTGTACCACATACGTATGTAGAAATACTATGTATAAATTAGAAGCTAATTTTTTTAAATACAGTCTTTTTTTAAAGCTGTAATAAAGCACACATTGACCTCAAATCAGTTTGATGATGTTCCTTTCCTATCCCTACCCTACCCTCACTCTAGAGGCCTAATAGAATCAGTAATGCTGTTACTTCTGTCTCTTTCATTATTTTATACACAGTGTCTATGATACAGTGATAATAAAACACATAAAGAAGCAAGAAATGATGACTCATTGTAAAGAGAGAAAACAGTCAACAGGAAGACATAACCCAGATGTTGGAATTATGAGGCAGGGATTTGGAAAAACCTACAATAAAAATGCTGAAAGGTCTAGTTAAAATGCTGAACGATGTGAGTGGACCAGGAATTGGAGTGGACAGATAAAACTTCCAAAAAAGTAGCCATGGGGCTGGCAGGTGGCGTGGTAGTTAAAGGACCTAGATTCCCATGTGGCCGACTGCGGTTTGAGTCCCAGTGGAAATAAAAAGTATGATTTTGAAATAAAGACTTGTCTAGATGGGCTTGAAAGTGGGCTAGACACAGCAGAGAAAATAGTAAGTGAATTCAAGACAAGTCAATAGAAAGTATCAAAACAGAAACACAGAGGAGAAAAAAGATTAGGGAAAATAAATACAGACAAAAATGTGCCAAAGACATGTGGGGCAATAATGCATATCTAATAAAGGTAATTAGAGTCCGAGAAGTAAAGGAGAAAGAGGAAGGACAGAAGGAAGGAAAGGAAAGTTTGAAGCAATAATAACTCCCAAAAGGAATGAAAACATCAATTTAAAGATCCAGAGTTCTAAACAAAACCCAAGTAGGGTAAATACACTGAAAAATTAGACAGTGTAGTCAAACTGGCAACATGAAAGATACAAAAGAAAATCTTAGAAACATCAAGGGGAAAATGACAGACAGAGCAACACTGATATGAATGATGGCTGACTTCTCACCGGAAACAGTGAAGGTAAAAAGATGATGAAACAAAATATTTAAAGTTCTGAAGGAAATAATAGCAACTGTATATGTAGAATTCCATATCCAGCAAAAATATCCTTCAAAATAAAGATAAAGTGAACACTGTTTTTTTTTAATATATAAAACCTGAAAGATTTTCATTTCAGCAGATAGAAGTATAAGAATTGGAACAGAAATTTGCTTAGACAGATGAGAAAATAATAACTGCTAGGACTCAGGATTTGCAGAAAATACTGAAAAGCACTATAAAGTGCTAAGCTGCAAAAAGGAAAAAAAAAAATATTTCATGATCATTACCTAGACAAAATACAGCATTTTTAAAATATCTACTATAACATTGCTCTAAATTAAAGTTTTTTTTCCCTAGCCCTAGGGAAATGATTTTGAGCCAAAAAATATAATTCATAATGAGTTTTAAATACTTACATTTTTTAACAAAGTCAAAAAACTTAATTATTAATGAACAATATTATGACAGAAAAAAATTGAGTAACATGAACCAAGTACATATTTTCATAAGCTTTACAACTGTCTAGAAAATATTATAAAACATATTTTACAAACGAGAAAAAATAGGAAATTGGACTGAGAAGCTAAATTCTTTGCCAAAGTCAGTTGGCTCTTAAGGCAGAGCTGGGATTCAAACTCAAATCTGTCAGATTCTAAATCTCATGACTTGCTTCTCAGACACTAATAAAGCAATAATAATTTGTATGTACCATGAGCTTAATGCCCAGTGTGGATTCATGTTACATTAGCTCATATGCCCAGTATGGAATTTAAATGAGGACAATTTCTAAGACTACCTTTTATACTACACAAATGTAACTTCAGTTACATTCATAGAATAAGGATATTCTGTGAAATGCTTCCATTTCTTATTTTGTCCAAAATTGGAAACTAATCCCATTTTCTTTATAAAATACAATTTACTTTAAAAAGTGCAACCAATACATGAAGAGCTTTAAAAATCAATTGCTTGTACTTCTGCTCAGAAATCAATATTGTTAACATTCTAAACAACTCTTTGGCATATGTCCTAAAGTTTTAAATGTCGTATGATAGATAAATACATTTGTAGTATATATGTGTGTGTATGTATACTTTCATTGGGTTGTTGGGAAAGCCATAATGCATTTTTGCATAGAAACATATGGTTTTGGGTCATGGCTTTCCCAATGACCCAATATGTATACTATATGTAATATAAATGTTTGATAATAACATATGTTTGACTCCACATTGTTGCTTTTTTCATGTAGTAACATATCATAATGCCACTGCCATGTCTCTATAGAGACATATCTCATTTTTCTTAATGAAGGTATGCATCATAATTTAATCAATTCCTTCTGAAGTTTTTGACTAATTCTAATTATTTGTCACAGTAAATAACTCTAAAGTGAACATTTTCATTATGTATTTAGCCTCTGGCTAGTTACATGCTTATATATACACATATATGTATGCATGTATATGCATATGTGTATTTGTAGTAGATACATACATACATAGACACACATGGATATAGTTTTTATTCCCATTATCACAATCCTTTTCCTCCCATCTGGGACTAGAGGTATGCACTCCCATGCCCAGTTCTTTCCGTTAGAGACAAAATCTCA